GGAGGAATCAAGAAACTCAAACAACAACAACTACAAAACGTGGGAAACATGTATGAAGTCCTACTTACAAGGACAAGATCTATGGGAGGTCGTTGGTGGAAGCGAAAACTACGCCACCAGAGGAAGACGTTAATGGTGCTTTACGCAAATGGAAAATCAAAGCAGGCAAAGCAATGTTTGCCTTGAAGACCACAATTGAAGAAGAGATGTTGGAGCATATTCGGGATGAGAACACCCCGAAAGAAGCTTGGGATACGTTTGTGACGCTTTTCTCAAAAAGAAGAATGATACGAGACTACAACTTTTGGAGAACGATCTATTATCAATCTCACAACGTGACATGACGATTGCTCAATATTTCCACAAGGTCAAGTCGATATGTCGGGAGATTAATGAACTAGATCCACAATCCGTCATTGCAGAAGCTCGAATGAAGAGAATCATTATCCATGGACTGAGGCCGGAATATAGAAGCTTTGTTACTGCTGTACAAGGATGGCCCGCTCAACCATCACTTGTAGAGTTTGAGAATTTGTTGGCCAGCCAAGAAGCTATGGCTAAGCAAATGGGAGGCATCACGCTGAAGAGTGAAGAAGAAGCACTCTACACAAGTAAAAGTCGGAGGAATTTCAAGCCACCTTCTAAAGAAGGATACAAAAATGCTGACAAAGGGAAGAGTCAGCAAGGAACCTCAAAACCATGGAGATCTCAAAAGACCGACAATAAGAGTTCTCGGGGGAGGAGGTTCGAAGGCAACTGCAACAACTGTGGAAAGTGGGGCCACATGTCCAAGGATTGTTGGTCAAAGAAAAAGTCTGTGGAAAGCAATGTAGTAACTTCCAAAAAGGAAATAGAGGATGAATGGGATGCTGAGGCATTATGTGCCATGAAGAAAACGAGTTGGCACTCATGACAATGATGGGAGAGCGTATCAACTATGAAAATGACTGGATCATTGATTCAGGATGCTCCAATCACATGACTGGCGATCAGAACAAACTACAAGACGTGAAGGAGTACAAAGGGAGTCGCATGGTACTTACAGCCAACAATGCACGACTTCCAATTGCTCAGATTGGAAAAAACGACGATCATGCCTGGTAATAAATCTGACATGGTGTCACTACATAATGTGTATCACGTGCCAGGTATGAAGAAGAACTTGTTGTCGGTATCGCAACTAACATCGTCAGGCAACTACGTCTTGTTTGGCCCACAAGATGTGAAGGTCTATCGAGATCTTAAAATATCAGAAACGCCAACAATGGAAGGACGAAGAGTGGAGTCCGTTTATGTGCTCTCCGCAGAGTCTGCCTATGTAGATAAGACTCGTAAGAATGAGACAGCAGATCTATGGCATGCACGGCTGGGACATGTTGGTTATCACAAGTTGAAGGTAATAATGGAGAAATCCATGCTCAATGGCTTACCTCAACTTGAAGTTAAAACAGATGTTGTTTGTGTTGGATGTCAGTATGGTAAAGCTCATCAATTACCATACAAGGAGTCAAATTTTAGAGCAAAGAAGCCACTAGAGTTAATTCACTCGGATGTGTTCGGTCCAGTCAAGCAGACATCAGTTAGCGGGATGCGGTACATGGTGACGTTCATTGATGATTATTCGAGATATGTGTGGGTTTTCTTCATGAAAGAAAAATCTGAAACATTCTCAAAGTTTCTAGAATTCAAGACAACGGTCGAAGGAGAAGTGAGAAAGAAGATTCGGTGTCTACGCTCAGACAATGGAGGAGAATACACCTCAGAAGAATTCAATCGCTATCTAAAAGAATGTGGTATACGTCATCAATTCACATGTGCCAACACACCTCAACAAAATGGTGTAGCTGAGAGAAAGAATCGACATCTTGCAGAAATTTGTCGAAGCATGCTACACGCGAAGAATGTCCCAGGAAGATTTTGGGCTGAAGCAATGCAAACTGCTGCCCATGTGATCAATAAACTTCCCCAACCAAGGTTAGGTTTCATCTCACCATTTGAGACACTATGGAACATGAAACCTACTGTTAGCTACTTCCGAGTATTTGGTTGCATCTGCTACGTATTTGTACCTAGTCATTTACGTAGCAAGTTTGACAAGAAAGCAGTCAGGTGTATATTTGTTGGATATGACAATCAAAGAAAAGGATGGAGGTGTTGTGATCCAACAAGCGGAAGATGCTACACTTCAAGAGATGTAGTGTTCGATGAAGCATCTTCATGGTGGTCATCAGAGAAGAAAGTACTACCAAACTCGGAAAATATTGAAGAAGTTTTAAAACAAAAGATAGGGGAGCAAACTGCACATATTTGGTCAAGTGTTGATACACCTGAAGATCCGAGCGACACTGATGTCATTGAGCAAGAAGTAACTCAAACAAGTGATGCCAGTGAAAGGGAGCCGCCGCCTCCACAACTTCGAAGGACGGAAAGAATCCGAAAGCCTAATCCCAAGTATGCTAATGCGGCCATTTTAGAAGACGGTGTTAAAGAGCCGGAGACATATGAAGAAGCAATTAAGAATAAAGCTTGGCAGAAGGCGATGGAAGAAGAAGTTACAGCCTTATAGCAGAATCAAACTTGGGAACTAGTACCAAGACCAAGAGATTTAAAACCCATTTCCTGCAAGTGGGTTTATAAAATAAAGCGTCGCCCAGATGGATCAATTGAGAGATACAAGGCTCGTCTGGTGGCTCGAGGGTTCTCACAACAATATGGATTGGACTATGATGAAACATTTAGTCCAGTGGCGAAGATAACTACTGTACGGGTGTTGTTAGCTCTTGCAGCTAGTAAAGACTGGAAATTATGGCAAATGGATGTGAAGAATGCTTTCTTGCATGGAGAATTAGATCGGGAGATCTACATGAACCAACCAAAGGGATTTGAGGATGAAGTTAATCCCAATCATGTGTGCAAGTTGAGAAAAGCTCTTTACGGATTGAAGCAGGCACCAAGAGCCTGGTATGGTAAGATTGCTGAATTTCTTACCCGAAGTGATTATTTAGTTGCACATGCAGACTCAAGCCTATTCATCAAAGAAAAAGAAGGGAAGTTGGCAATTGTGTTGGTTTATGTGGATGACTTGATCATCACCGGGGATGACGAAAGAGAAATCCATCAAACAAGAGAAAATCTATCGGTACGATTCCAAATGAAAGAGTTGGGGGAGCTTAAACACTTCTTGGGGTTAGAAGTTGATCGTACAAAAGAAGGGTTGTTTCTCTGCCAACAAAAGTATACAAGAGATATACTTCAAAAGTTTGGCATGTTGGAGTGTAAGCCAATATCAACACCAATAGAGCCAAATGCCAAGATATGTGCTCATGAAGGAAAAGAGTTGGACGATGGAACGATGTATCGACAACTAGTAGGTAGTCTTATCTACCTAACTTTATCTCGGCCTGACATTGCTTATGCAGTTGGAGTTATGAGTCGATACATGCAAAGTTCGAAGAAACCTCATTTGGATGTTGCCCGACGGATCTTGAGATATGTCAAAGGAGACCATGATACCCGAAGATCAACCACTGGGTATGGGTTCAAGCTTGGGTCGGGACCAATATCATGGTGTAGTAAAAGACAACCAACAGTATCATTGTCAACCACGGAAGCGGAGTACAAAGCAGCGGCCGTAGCAGCTCAAGAAAGTACATGGTTGGTACTCCTAATGGAGGACTTACATCAAAAAGTTGACTATGCAGTACCACTTCACTGTGACAACCAGTCTGCAATTCGGCTGGCAGAAAATCCAGTATTTCATGCTAGAACAAAGCATGTGGAAGTGCATTATCACTTTATCAGAGAGAAAGTCTTGATGGAAGAAATTGAGATGCGGCAGATCAAGACCGATAATCAAATAGCAGACTTGTTCACCAAAGGGCTGAGTACTGGAAAATGTGAAGGTTTTCGCTGTCAGCTTAACATGGTACGAAGAATGAGGGCTAGTGTTGAGGGGGAGTGTTAAAGATCATCACTAGCCCAATAAAACAAATATTATTTAGAAGACTTTAGCTTGTTCTAGAATGCTCTAGAAGATTCTAGAACATTATGGAAGACTATGGAAGACTCTGGAATATACCGGAAGAGTCTAGAATACTCTAGAACGACATGGAAGACCCTGGAAGGTTATGGATCATTCTAGAAGACACTGGAGCAACCTAGACTTCTCCAGAACATGGAAGAACATTCTAGAAACATATGGAAGGATGTAGAGTATGTTAGATAGTTCTAGAGTTATCTAGTATGTAGTAAGTGTATGCTAGTATCTAGAACCATCCTAAGAGGCCTATAAATAGGTATGGAGCTCATTTGCTCCAAACCATCCAAGAAAGCCTCAAAGAAAGCAAAGTGTGTAGTAGTCTCACAAAGTGTAAGTTCTCCTTAAGTGTCTTAATAAAAGTCTTGTTGTTTCCCATATAAAAGAGTCGTGTTCAACACAAAATAAAAGACGTACTCGTGCCCGTTATAGATCATAACATCTTGTATGATAATCTCCATGACATCCTGAAAAACATTGATGATTTGGGATGTGTATTTCTCATCATCAACATTGTCTGCTAGCTGGCAGACACCCAATGGAGTAATCAGAAAAAAAAAAAAAAAAAAAAAATCTAAGGAATATATTAACAATGACAATGAATAATAATAGCCCACGATTTAAAAGAAATGCCTCATCTTACCAGATTATCCAAGAACTTCACCAGCTTATCATTTAGTGAAGGCAATTCGCTCATACGAAATTTATTCAAAAACATTCGCTGTTGAATGCTAGTTTCTATTTCATGGCATATACACTGTATGATCCTGTAAAAAGAAAAAGACAATGAAAATGAAATAGATTTTCTAACTACTTGTAAGTATAAATTTGCAATAGGATCAAGATGTACGCCTTACATTTTATCTCGGTCATCATCAATGAGTTCAAATAATATTTCCTTAAGTGTTTGGTAGCATTCCATCACTGCTGACCGCATATAATCATCACCAATGATCTTCTGGAACAGATCTCCATCTTCCTTTCCTCTGAAATCGCTGGCCATGTCTAATGCAATGGGGATCTTAAGTGGCAAAAAGTCAAACCATGATTACGTTTAACTTCAGATAAACAATAACAAAAAGACGTCAAGCAAAGGCATGGCCGGAGGATTTGTACCTTACTAGCAAGCATGAATAGTGGCCACTGGACAACTGGAACATCACTTGTGGTATATGGTACAAGAAGCAGATCTCTCTCACTTCAAAAATAAAACGAATGTCAGCAGTATATTCTGCTTCAGTTTGATTCCTTATATTAATAACAACAAACTGTTTAAAACCTGTTGCTGATCAAGTCTTCCATCCGCATTGAAAATATGAATTCGTTCCACACCAGTGAAAATTTTGCTATGTTCTTTCTGGTCACCAATAAATCATCTTCCACGTGATCTCTTTTAGGTTCTTTTTTTTGCACAGGCATAAGGCGTTCACAGAAAGCTGAAGGAACAGATTTAAATCTTGACCGCAGCATGCCAAGTGTCCGTATCTAAGAATCAAACAACACAGAATGATGATGTCAATTGTCATCTTAATTTCTCTTTCAAATTTTAGTAAAGTAAAGATATATGCGTACTAACCTCACCCAAGTGACTCAAGGCCCCGTAGATGCCACCAATAATAGTAGCATATATCGTGTACCAAATTTGTGTGTCCATGAAATAGACCTAAAATGAAAATATTACATTACAATTTACATACGTTTAATCGGCCTCATAAATGCAAAACAAAAGTAATTATTTTCAAGAACACTCACCATGACAATTGGAGCCCATATAGAAATAACAACGCCAATATTATGGGTCACTACAAAATGCTCAAATAAGTAAGTAATCAGATCATAATACAGTAAGAATCACAATTAGAAAAGTTGTATATAATTTTTAAGATTTTACTGTTGGGAAAGAACTCATGCCACTCGTAGCTGCTAACATGCATTTTCATGATTAACTTTGTGGGCTTGACCAGTGGCAGTATCTATATGAAAATTGCAAATATTTAAGCATAAACTGTCTATACAAATCATATGTGTTAACAATCATTTTCATGATTACCTCCACATAGAAGCTGAATGCGAACTTGCTAATTAGAAGCACTATCCAAAATAGAGTATACCTAAGATCAACATCAACAAAGTAAGAAAAAAGAAATTTAAAAAATCACATATCAAATTTTATATGCCTACTTGAAAAGAGACAAGATGTCCTCATGCATGCCTCTTCCAACATAGAGTTTTGGCTATAAAAATTTGCAAAATTCAATAAAAAAAAAACAAGAAGAATGTAACATCAATACAAACTACCAATCCACACGTAAATGAACTTACTTGTGCCCACCACATTATAAGAGTGGGTATACGCCTATTGGAACTTTCCATGTGTCTCCTTATAGGTGGAAGCAGAAATAGCAAGGCAGCCAGCAAATTGGGTATCAAGTAAATTGCTATAAGATAATTATAAAGTATTTGCCCTCTCCAATTTCCTCCCAAAGTACTGAAAAACTTCACAAATCCTGTTGGATTTGGAACTGATCTTAAGTAACAAATGGACAAGGTTACCATCCAAAAAGCAGCAACAACAAATTTGAAAATACAGCGACGAATCTGTGTAGGTTTTAAGCTCCTCCATGCGTTCAAACTAAGGATTATGTCTAGACTAACTGTGAAGAGAAACCATAAATTACAAAAAGGACAACAGCTAGAAGTAACGAAAGAATGTGCAGGAAGTAAGTATGTACCTTGGATAAAGTTAAGTATGGCATAAGTGATGAATATGCTGGAGATGTTTTTAATGACAGCTTCATCTAAAATTCCAAAGATTGATCCATCTCCATGCCATGCAACAATTATCATAGCCTACAAAATCGAAATGAAAAGATTGAAATGCTACCAGCCTAATAAGAAACCATCAACTAACTGCATGATTCTTGTTAATATGTCTTTGTAACTTTTGTTGTGCCTTTTGTGTATTTCTCCTATTCCGATGACCTATCCACTCCGGCTCTGCCTGTTAACAACCAACGAGTCTCTGAGCCCGTTTCCGAGCCAGTCTCCGAGCCAAATTTCGATCCAGTTTCTGACCCAGTCTTTGACGCGGCGTTTGGATCCCTCTCCACTCCGACAACCGAATTCTTTGGAACTGCAGAGTCTGGCCCTACCCCGGTACCGCCTTGTCCACCTGCTCCTTCTCATCCAATGCAGACTCGGGCAAAATCAGGAATATTTAAACCAAAATATTGTGTTGACTTCTCTCACGCTACTCGGCATGCCTTGTTTTCCACCTTGTTCTCAACCCGTGACCCAAAAGGTTTCAAAACTGCCGTCAAAAGCCCACATTGGTTGACAACCATGCAAAAGGAACTTGATGCTTTATATAATAACAATACTTGGACGTTAGTTCCACGAACAACCGGACAAAATGTTGTTGGTTCAAAATGGTTATTTCGCACAAAATATCGTTCCGATGATACGTACCATTGAACGTCACAAAGCTCATGTTGTTGCTCAAGGCTACAGCCAAATACCCGGACTCGATTTCTCCCACACGTTCAGTCCTGTTGTGAAGGCTTCTACTATACTTGTCATTTTGGCCCTGGCTGTTCTTAATAACTGGGGACTCCATCAGCTTGATGTCAACAATGCGTTCCTTCATGGTCACTTAACTGAACGTGTGTATATGGAACAACCTCCAGGCTTTGTTGATTCACGGTTTCTTGATCATGTTTGTCAACTTAACAAAGCTATTTATGGTCTAAAGCAGGCTCCCTGGGCTTGGTTTCAACGTCTAAGTCATTTTTTGATCCAAAATGGGTTCTCATTCAGTCGATCTGATCCCTCGTTGTTCGTCTTTACACATGATTCGTGCATTATGTACTTACTGGTTTATGTTGACAATCTTATTTTAATAGGCAATCAACCCAAGTGTCTTACATCTTTCATTGTTCGACTCAATCTTGAATTTGCAATAAAGGATCTTGGCAGTCTTACCTATTTTCTGGGGCTAGAAGTCATTCGCACTGATGATGGCTTGTTTCTCAGCCAATCAAAATATGCTCGGGAAGTTCTTCAACGTGTTGATCTTCTCGATGCTAAACCCGTTCACACTCCGCTAGTCACTACTGCTTCATTTTCCACAGTTGGGGAACCGTGCAAGGATCCCTCTTCGTATCGATCTCTTGTGGGGGCTCTCCAATACTTAACTATTACCAAACCTGACATCTTGTATGCCGTGAATCAAGTCATTCGGTTTCTTCAAACTCCCACCACTACTCATTTGCAACATGTTAAACGAATTTTACGATACGTCAAGGGTTAGTTTCCTATGGGCTCTCATTCACCAAGATGGCACATTCCTCTGTTTTGGGCTATTCGGATGTTGATTGGGCTCGCTACCTTGAGACTCGTCGATCCACTTATGGGTACTCCATCTTTCTAAGTGGGAATCTCATCTCTTGGAGTGCGAAAAAGCAGCCAACTGTTTCCCGCTCCAGTTGTGAGTCTGAATATCGGCTATGGCAACCGCTGCTGCTGAGATTATATGGCTTACAAATCTCTTTTCCGTGAATTGTGTGCCTTGCCCCCTGATCGACCCACACTCTTGTGTGACAATCAAAGTGCTCTATTCATGACTCAGAATCCTGTGGCTCACAAACGTACCAAGCATATTGATATAAACTACCACTTCGTTCGTGAACTTGTGACCTCCGGTGAACTATTCACAAAATTTGTTCCTACCAAGCTTCAAGTGGCGGATATTTTCACTAAGAGTCTTTCCTGGTCTCAATTTGAATTCTTTCGTTCCAAGCTTCGTCTCGGTCCTCCGCCCTTTCGCTTGAGGGGGGATGTTAATATGTCTTTGTAACTTTTGTTGTAACTTTTGTGTATTTCTCCTATTCTTGGTGTATGTAATATGTAACTTTTATCATTTCTAAAAGGAATGCCTATCCTTTGGTGGGGGATAGAGAAAGTTAAATCAATTCAATTCTGTTATATACCTACCTGCAAGACCAATATGAGGAATATCCACATCCGATCAAAACTCCTGTAAAGATGCAAAAATGAACGCACTTCAACAAAATTTGTTTTAGTCTTCTTTACAACTTGATTGCGCCCCTGCAGATTACTTAAATTTGAGCATTTTTATTTGGTGAATAATGCTAGCTTTAAAGTTGCATAAATGCACACATACTACATGATGGCGCGATGACTCATCGGAGTGAATAAAAAAGTCAGATTTGCGATTCATTGGCCAGCCTAACTTAAAGCATTTGTCAGACCTGCAAGAGAAAGAATTAAAGGTTGGTCAATAGTGTTAGCATGAATGCCATATTTATAATATATAGAGTTACCAAAAATATTCATTAAGATCATCATAGTTTCTCCATGAAGCATGGCTTGCATTGCCACCTTGATTTCTCCTGGCTTCCTGCTACCATTAAAAAAAATAGTAAGTCTCATTAGGAAAGTAGATTTCATGAAACAGGAACAGAACTTATAGTGCATTCTAATGTTATTACCTTAAGAAGAACATCAAAAATAGGTGAGATGACATCACACAGAAATGCTTCCTCACCAACTTGATTTTTCCCTCCACTTACAGATTGGACATTGCGAAATAAAGTTTCAAGCATTTCCTTTGCCATCTTTTTTGTTCAACGAAAATAAGATCACATCATAAATATAAACAAAATGATAACTGTATTCTTGTAAATATAAACAAAATAATAACGTACATTATGAAAAATATAGCAAAGGCATTCAGGCATGAACCGGATGTTTGAAGCTTCACCCCAGATGAGTAGATAGAGTCCAATGTACAGAAGATGCAACTGCTGCCTATCAGCACTAGGTGGAACCTTATTTGAACTTGAACAAACAAAAAAGATTAAATCCTCATTTTAAAGAACAAGAAACATGCTATGTCATCTTGCTAATAACTTACTCAATGATTGATGTTCGGTGCAAATAATGACACCATGAGACATAGTTCTTCAAAGTAATATCCAATAAATGTTTTACCGTTTGGCTACCCAACTACAAAAAGTTCCTTATCGGTATTCAGTTCATCTCTAAAGATCAGTAAGCATTGAAGTTCGGTTCAAATATTATAGTGAAAAAGTGGGAGCTTTACCTGTTCATAGTCTTCGACACCCTTCAACCTTCTATGAATATTTGCAAGTAACAATACCAAGTGTTCCCGTTGATTTGCAACGTTTCCTTTCTTCATTTTAGAATAGCAAAAATTTAAACCAGTCATATTTGTAAACAATTTATGCATAGTTAATTAAATAAAGCGGTTAATGACTACAAGTTACCTGAAAACCAAAAATTGATGATAACCACTCGAGAATATCATTAACAGATTTTTCTGAGTCAGATGGAAGGTTATCCGTAGTGCGAATCGCTCTAAGAGCTGCTTGTATCTAATCACATATGAATACCAAAATTAATATATATATATATATATATATATATATATATATATATATATATATATATATATATAATACCTCTGTCCCAAATTAATTGTCCACATTTGACTTTTGAAGTATTTATTCTTCAACTTTAACCTTAAATATTTTTGTTTTTTATAGATAATACTTAATGTAAAATATTTGAATGAATTTGATTTTAAATTCTTTTTCATTGTTATAAGTTTTATCAAATAATACATAATACAAAACAAAATACTAAATACAAAGGAGTAAACCAAAAGTTTATTTATATTTGAAATTTGAAATAAATGGAAATTATAAGAACAAAATTAAAAAAATAATAAAAATAACCATACAAAAAGTAAATAAATAAATATTATGTGTTTAGTTGTTAGACCCGTGTACTAAACAGATTGTATAAAGCCTAACATAATCCATAATAGATGATGCAAGAAAGATGGTAGAGAAATTTGATTGTATTTTATTAAAAATATGTTGTTTTGATGGTTCTATCTCTAATATTAGGTACACAAAGTTATATATATATATATATATATATATATATATATATATATATATATATATATATATATATATATATATATATAGGGGATAGGGAATATACATTACAGCCCCACCTAAGCTTAGGTACTAAACCTCTAAAATATGTCGTTTTAACATGCTAAATATACCCGGTTTGGTTTCACTTGGTAAATATATCATTCTCCATAACATTTCTTTCTTTCATTATCATTCTATCATCTCCGTTTTCTTTCCTCAATTATCGTTTATTACTTCATCCAAGTGAACATTACTAAACCTTAAACCTAAACCTAAACCCTAAATTTAAACCCTAAACACTAAAGCTAAACCCTAAACCCTAAATCTAAACCCTAAACCCTAAACCATAAACCCTAACCCTAAACCCTAAACCCTAAACCCTAACCCTAAACCCTAAACACTAAACCTTAACCCTAAACCCTAAACCCTAAACCTAAACCCTAAACCCTAAACTCTAAACCCTAAACCCTATTGTGTCGATCTTGAATTTACATCTTGAAGTATTAATCGTGAATCCATTAACCGTAATCTTTATATAGTAAAACAATGTATTTTCAAGAGGATTAGTACCTAAGCTTAGGTGGGGCTGTAATGTATATTCCCTTTTCCCATATATATATATATATATATATATATATATATATATATATATATATATATATATATATATATATATATATATATATAAGCACACACACACACACACACACACACACACACATATATATATATATATATGATATAGATCCGATAAGAAATTTTTTTTTTAGGAAGGTAAGAAATTTTTTTTCGACTTATTTTTTTTGGTGAAAAAAAACAAATTAATCAATAATAACATGATTCACAAAAAAAATCCCGAAAAAACATTTCGATGATTCATTTTTATGATGATATTCACTAAAATTGTCATAAAAGTGAATTTTTTTCTTGATTCACCTAAAAATGAATCATGAAAGTGTTTTTTCGGATTTTTTTCTTGTGAATTATCTTACTTTTGAATCATGTAATGATTCGTTTCATTTTTTTGCTAAGAAAATATGTATATAAAATTTCTTACCTTCCTACCAAAAAAATTTCTTCTTATTTGATCTTGACTCTCTCTCTCTCTCTCTCTCTCTCTCTATATATATATATATATATATATATATATATATATATATATATATATATATATTAGAAAATAAGATTTATGTATAATTGAATACGACCTCGGGAATCTCTATAATTGTTGGTTTAATTCCAACGGCATACAAAGGAAGAATGTTATAGGGTTCATATTGCTTTTTGTTTTCCTCTACATCACGTGCGTAGTGTTGAGTCTACAATGCCATGAAAGCATACATGAGCAATATGGTATTTAAACTTCCATTACATAGAAATCAAATACACCAATCATACCTTTGGCTCGATTTTTGAACCAGGTACCACGTTCTTTAATACTTCATATAAAACAGTTGCAATCTGATAAAGCTTGGCCATCTCTTCACTTAAAGGTGACAAAAGCAAAATAACAAGATTAACAAGTAAGTACATGATAATATCTTTAAGCATTAAACAAGCCTTACGGTTTCTTTAAGTATATGTTGTCTTTGATGTTTCTCTCATAGAAGATCTGGTAGAATTTTTGGATTTCCTTAGCATCATTTTGTGCTAGTCTAGGTTTTGTCATTTCTTTTTCCTACACCAATAGAACATTTGAAATTGTCATTAGAATTTATAAAAGTTTAATATTATACAAATAATATGATATTAACTTAAAACGGTATTGTCATATTAATGTAACTACTAGGATGTGAAAAACTAGCTAAATATGACAAAAATAGTGAAAATTGTAACCTTCTCAAGTCTATGTTGTAGGTATGTCATGAACTGGCGAACACCACGTCCACTAGATTTGTTATCCATCCTATAAGCCTTCTCGTATGCAAGAAACCGGCCTAATGCAACCAATTAAAAGCATTAAATGTTATAAGCAACCATAAATCACAACCATCATTATGTGTATTTGTCACTTATTCATAATAGATAAAGAAATATTACTAGGAATATGTGATTGCATAAAATGAGTAAATGATACTTCTAATGTAGGCATATAGGGCAAATCCTTCATAGAAGACCTTTGGCATAGGAAATAAAGAAAAAAAACCCAAGCCCACACTTCGTATTTTGTGCACATGAAAAAGTCCACCCACAATGGAGAAATAAAAGTGTTGTGTACTAAACAAAAAACACATCTACCAATAAAAGATTAAAGTGAAGAGGATTAAGGGTAAACAGTATTAGGTAAATACTAAACGGATACGTAAATAGTGAAAGCGAATACTAGCAATAAATTAGAAAACGGATACTAGCAATAAAAGATGAAAAATAAAAAGGAAACAAGATCTAAGCGGTAAAAAAACTACACGACAAGCACAAATAGTGATAAGAAAGCTAGTATATAGTTTACTCCTATACTACTCCACTATCATAATTCTAAGCCTCCACAACCTCCTATCAGTGGCCATATCTTCTCGAAAGGAGTCACTTCTTCAAGTCTAACCTCACATTATCTTCTAACTTCCTTCTTGGGTGTCATTTACTCCTCATGCCTCTATGGTGATCATCTCCACCCCCTAGCCATAAAATTTTAGTTGTCTCTTATGAACATAACATATTCGAACCAAATTTTCTTTCAGACAATTTCATTATAGTGGGTGTAATTCTCAAGTCTCAATGAATTTGTGATTCTCAGTTTCGCTACCCATTCTAATAATGTTCTACTATATGTCCAATTCAGCATCCTCAGTTCCACGACCTTTATCTTCCTCTTGTGTTCCTTTTTAATCATTATTTAATTCATCCATAAAACATAATTAGTCTTACAATATCCTTGGACCTTTCTATTTTATCCATACTACTAGACATGGTGTAGCACCTGGTTTCCGGTATGTGAATTTTATTTGAGCATTGCCCTATTTTAGCCTTGGACTCGGCGAGTCATAAGGTCCGACTCGCCGAGTAGGGACAAGACTCAGGACACGTTTAAGTGGGCGACTTGGCGAGTCCATATCCTGGACTCGGCGAGTCACCGCTGCTGGATGAAACCCTAAGTTTCAAGGGTTTGCACCCTATTTAAACCCTCATTCCGCCCCCAACTCATCCCCATTCACCCCCCAGAACTCCCCAACATCGTTTTTCCCTTATTTCCTTGAGAGATTGAAGTGCTCTTGGTGTGTTCTTGAAGGTTTTGAGGAGAAAGAGGTGTAGATCAAGAAGAGGAGAAGGAGATCAGGCATCTTTGTGTCATTTCAACATATTCCTTGAGGTATAGCTCGTTTCCCCTCTGTTTTCAAGCTTGTAATCCCTTTTTGCTTCATTGGAGTCCTTCTTGGGCCCTTCCCCAAGCTTGTTTGTGCTTTGTGGGTGATAATAAGTTGTTAGCCTTTAGATCTAGGCATGATTTAGTCCCTGGAGCTTGGATCTATTGCCTTTATGGGGTCGTATTGCATGAAAGCCCTAGATCTACCTCTTTTGGTGCACTTTGAGCCTCAAAATCCATATTGGTGAATATCTACACGTAAAGTTGGAAACTTTACGTGTGAATTGTGTCCTAGAAGCCCAGATCTGTGAATGGCATGGACTGGAATCGAGCAAATCGGTGTATTTGATGGATGCATGGCTGCGACTCGGCGAGTCATATATGTGACTCGACGAGTCTGGTCGCAGTCACTAAACTGGTCCCTTTAAGATGTATCGAGTTGAGCCGTGAGTCACAGGGGTGACTCGGTGAGTTGGAAGCTGAACTCACTCATGATAGGACTCGGCGAGTCAATGCCCTGACTCGGCGAGTCCAAGGCAATCTTCATAGATCAAGAACAAACTCGGCGAGTTGTTCATACAATCGCGAGTCTTAGCATATGTGTTCTTCGGATGAAGATGAACTCGACGAGTTGTTCATACAACTCGGCGAGTAGGATGAAGGAGTTGAATGACAGTTTAGAAGATGACTCGTCGAGTCATAGCCCAACTCGACGAGTAGAAATCAGGGACCCAGGACAATAGTTTGCTAGGGACTCGGCGAGTGGAGATCCACTCGGCGAGTTGGGTCAACTAAAAGTTGACTTCGATTTGACTTAGGGCTAGACCAGGGGTAAAATGGTCTTTTTACCCAAAGGACAGTTAGCAGTGTATGATTAAGTATATTGTGGGAATTACAGCCGGGGAGTTTCCGGAGCGCAGCAGCAGTAGTAGGTGATCAATTCCCACACAGACCAGCAGCTGTTTCGAGGTGAGTTTCCTTCCAGTAGTAACGGGTCTAAGGCACCAAGGCCGGCCCGTATAGATGAGACGTTAGTATTATAGTGTGGGCCGAGCCCGTATCTATTAGTTGAGTTGATTGTGTTATATACCAGCATGATAGAACTGTTTACACTTGTTGTCTGTGCGATACTTGTGTGATATGAGTTGGCGGTTGAGTGGGGCGGGGCCCGTATCTCTCCGAGAATGGAGTGTGGGCTAGGCCCGTATCTCCCAGGTAGCGAAGTGTGGGCGGGGCCCGTATCTTCACGAGTGTGGGCGGGGCCCGTATCTCTCAGAAAGTGAGGTGTGGGCGGGGCCCGTATCTTCACGAGTGTGGGCGAGGCCCGTATCTCCTAATTGCATGTTATATGTTAAATGCTTGTATGGTATGGGGTATTATGGGGGAGCTCACTAAGCTTTGTGCTTACGGTTTCAGTTTTGGTTTCAGTACCTCCTCAGCTAGGGGAAAGGAGTCGGCGGGTAGCAGCATGTCACACCACACACTCTTCGGTTTCCGCATTTACGAGATTCACTGGGATTGTACTCTGATATTTGATGGGATGTATGGTTTGACTTTTAAAACATGGTTTGCGATGTGTTATGGTGTGATCAAACAATGTTTTTATTTATTAATGTTTCTAAAGTAATATTTTAAAAGAAATTTTTGGACATGAAA